AAAAAAAAAAAAAAAAAAAAAAAAAACACATCTTAGTAAAACCAATACCTTCTCAGCTTCGCATCAAAGCTAAAAAGGTCACAAAACGGTAAAAAATAATAAATTTAAATATATTTTTATAATATCTTAAAATCTCTGGGTGAATGTCTCAAAAAAGTCAAGACTTCAAGCGGTAAAATAGCGTATATTTTTATTCATTTTTAGAGCGACGTCACTAATTGTGAACTGATTTTGTAAAAGACCTCATAAGCATAAAAAAAAGCAAAAAGTCTCTTTTATTAAAAGAATATAACGTTTTTTAATTAAATCCCGCAAAATATAAGATTTTTAAATAACCCAATTACTTACCATATGGTATTGTATGTTTTAGGACCTTTTTAAATGTAAGAATGTTTAAGTTCTTTAGAGTTAAATAATTATTCGCAATATCAAAGCAATATTGATATTCTTTTAATTTTTCAATATATATTGATAAAGCATAGATTTTCTTGGCTGTTGAATCAATAACTTCAGTAATACTATCTTCTACATCATATGTTTTATCAAAGTGATTAAATTTAAAACATAGATATTTTCTTTTCATAATTAAGTCAACATATGTTAAAAGTTTTCGTGCTTGTTCATTTATAAATAAATCATTAAGATCTTTGAGAGATTCAATAAAATAAAACGTCTTATTAAATATATATCTCATTTTTTTTTTAAAATTACATTTAAATAAATTTAAATCCATAAAAGCATTTATAAGAGCAGTGATATCCTCACCCATTTTAATAATTTTATCCTTTAAATAGAATTGTACCGCTTTATTCTGATGAATAAACACATTAATTAATACCACATAACTACGCAAGGCAGACAGAATAGGCCGTGTTGCTGCTGTATTTACCAATAACTGAAATGTCTCTATATTTATCAAATCAAAATCGAATTTGACAAATCGAAATATGTCTAACAATTTTATTCGATAATTTATCTCACTTGTTTTCAAAATCGGTGTAAATCGCAGCTCGTCTAAAATGTCGCTCAGTTGGCCATCGTCATTATAGGAGGCTCTTTGTTTTGCTTGGGAGCCTGACGCAAGATCTAGTTCAAAATTATGAGGACGTTTCTCCATTAAGTCATAAAACAAATAATATTTTGGATGAAAACGATTGTATTTTTTACTTTCATATGCTAACGCTAAATATTTCATAATGACATTATAATTTTCTAATAATGGATTGTTTTCTAATGAATGTATATCTCTTAAAGTTAAATATATTTTCATATCATTAATGATTTTATTTTTTAGCTGTTCCAATACACAATGTAAGTTTTCCGAGCTATATTCAATTGGTTTTTTAAAATTAGTGTACAGTATAAAATCATTGTCAAAGGATACATTGGAACATTTATCTTCAATAAAATACTCTAATCGTTGTACAATTGATTGATGTATTATTTTATATCCTTTAAGTAAATGTTTAGAAATTTCAGATCTACTAAATTCACCATTATCGTTTTTAGCGATCATATTTAAGGATCCCGAAACATTGTTCAAGTATAAATTAACAGTTATCAAATCTTTTGCATTATGATGATCACTAATTTCTCGCAATGTTCCTAACATGACCATTATGATTTCATCATGAGTTTTGATTGCTGTTCCATAGGTAGATAGTTGAGTTTCAGAAATCGTATTATCAAAGCTCAATAGATATTGCTCACTGTATTTGAAATAATTAAACATATACTTAGAAAAATTGCAATGCATATATGTATAATCCATCGAAACTGAAAATTTTGAATATACGGTAAGTATAACAAGTATAAAAATTATCATTTTGATGTATTATATTTACGTTGTATAACAATCAATTTTTACATTATAGACAATTTTATTTAAAAGATATTTAAAAAAAAAATATTGGCCAAAATCATATTCTTATACATTTATTTTTTGTATACAAATATAAATATAAATTTAAATAAAAAATAGCACCTTATTTAGAGATTTTTTTTTATTAATTCAGTGTGTTCAAACCACATTGTTTATTGTTCAATCGTAGGCAAATTCTTCAGTTATTTAATTATTGATACAAAATTTATTGACTAAAAAATGTGCATAATACAATAACTATAACGAAACGTAGCTTGTAATTCACAGTATTTTTTTATACCTGCATTTAAAATTTAAATTTTAAATCAAATATTCAATTTATGAAGAATTCTAAATTTAGTTTGTTATAAGTTTATTATAGAATAATTTATAGATTATAAATATTATATAATAATTATAATATTATTATAATAATTATCAATGTAATTATTTCTAATGTATATTTTGAATGTTAAATAGAAAGCTATAACAATTATAGGTTAATAATAATAATTATTATTTTCTTTTCATGTTTAATATTCTGACTTAAAAACTTTGTTTTTTTTTAAAGAGAACGAGACACCTGTATAGACCAGTAATATAACAGTAAACTTTGGTACATATAGACCGAGTCATGTGATTTCGATTGAGCTAAAAAGGCTAATTAAGTTGATTAATTCTGTAGCTTTTATCTAAAAGTTTCTATCACAAAAATGCGGTTTTGGGGAAATTTTTGCATTCAAGTTATTAATACCAAAGATTAAAAATGAATCATACTTAATAAATAAAATGTTTTATAAACCACAGTTAGAAAAATATACAAGAAAAATAGTTAAATTTATAACAAATATATGTTTTTTGTATGTTTTTAAAGGATACAACAAATTTTAAATCAGATTTGAAATAATTCAGTAGCCTATTAAGTTGCCTATCCTAAAATAAAATGGGCATCGGAAAATTATAATAGTATATAATAGTAAAGTTTAATTTTATTTTAATTATCCTGTAATATTTTAGTTATTTATGTTATAAACTTAATTAATAAACAATTTATTGATTTTTTTCTATTATTAGTTGGCTGGTTTGACATTGTTAACGTTTTACACTCATCTTCTATATCAAACACATTTGATAATCCTAAAATAACAATAAACAAGGAAAGTCGTTCAAGCTACGAAAACGCAGTTAATTATAATAATTAATTGTCATTGAAACACGACAATTTATATCAAATTAAAATTATTTGCTGAAGTTCAACTTTGTAGTTCAATTACGTGAAATTTTTTTATTTTAAGTTATTAATAAGCATATCATATACTTAGAAATATAAAAAATTGTGATTGAAACATAATGTTGTTATTTAATAATTTTTAAATTTTAAGAGCTCTCCTCATTATGTTTTAATATCCCAACGTCTTTTAGCATATTAGCTAATAACTGAAAAGTGACTTCTTCTGGGCAATTTAGATTTTTCTTTAATACAAACATAATCAATTTCATATAAAAAAATCAGATAACATGCTATATCGTCTTCTTTATTTATACTATAGTGTATGTTCATTACACCTTTGTAGATAGTCAAACACATTCGTAAGAAATATTTTATTTTCAAAATAGGATCTGATATATTTTTGACAAAAAATATGTGTAATAACTACTTAAATAAATAATATTAGCAAAAAATATGTTACGGTTGTTATAAAAACAAAAATGTATTACATTAAATTTTAGATACGTATAAATTTTATAAAATTATAACTTAAAATTAAATTTAAAATCAAATTAAAAATTTTAAGGCTATAGTAATTTGTATACAAAATATAATAGCTGTTATAAGTGTTATAATAATAATAAATCTCAATTTATAATCGAACATTATGTTTAAAGCATGTATGTGTATTTATACGTATAATGCCAAATAAAGAGGATCATTCAAAATATATATTTCGATTATTACCAATATTTTATGAACACGTAAAGTTCACCTGTCTGTACGATAACATAAAAATATATGTAGTTTTTTAGTTTTTTTTTTTCATATACTAAGTAATGTTATCTTCTTGAAAACATGGTATATAATTAATGTTATTTTAGTTGTTGTGTCCCATGTTTGTTGGTATCACACCAACAATTTTTTTTTTCAAATTTCCCAAATGCCCAATTATAAATATTTAATGTTATAGTTGTAGTAACATATTGATTACTTATAGGAGTATTAAAAATCAATTCTATCAGATTTTTTTTTTGTGTGCAATTCATAATGTAAAATATTTAAAAATAGTTTTGTTTTTGTTTACTTCAGCCTTTAACAAATTAATAAAATTGTTTTTCAGTTTTAATTGCACCAATTGATTATTTTGCGAATTATTTATTATGAAAAATATCTAACTATATATGTATTTTTGACTAGAACCACTTTTAGAAATTGTGCTGCCCGGGGTACTTGATTCTGCCATACTCGATGACCTTTTAATTTTCTCATCGAAAAAATTGTTCTATTTATTTTTTATTTGAATGAGAAAAATAAAATCTTCAACACTATATTTATATTGCTTCATATTCTATTTCTGACCTTAAAAACCTACGGTTATGTTATTTATTTGAATTTTTATAACTAATTATTGAAGTGATTTTATTTTACATTTGTTTATTATTGTTATTTTTTAAAATACACCCTGTAATAACTCTATTTTTGTCTTTTATCATATTTAGAAAATACACTATTACCCATTGTAACCTAGTCATCTTATTCCCCTAAGTAGCGTCGGTGGCTACATAACAAAAACACAAATTACATTTTTTCTCAAATAGTGTTAAGAAACCATAAGAAAAAATAAATAAATAGATTTTTCTCATATTATCAGCGTGTTGTGAGCATAAAAAAAGATCTCTATCAAAGTAGCTGCTAACAATGTCTTAAATTAGTCATTCATTAGCTCATAAGCTCTTAATAAAAAATTTGGATGATTAATCTCAAAATTTATTTATATTTTCTTTAATTTTTAAGAAATATTGTCTTAATAAAAGTGTTTAAATTTTTAAAAACGCATTTTGATAGGTAAAATAGTTCAAACGTTTTGTTAATGATAATTAATGTTATTACTCAAAACTGAATAAAAAAAAAAGCCAAGTACATAAATTTATAAATTTTATTTTACTTTTCAAGTTATCACTCCTCTTTATTTCACCTGAAATAGTGCACAATTGTTCAGGTTAATACTGATAATAGGTTTTAGTTTAAAAAATAAAACTAAAACAATAGTGAACTCTTTATATTCATCAAAACGGAAAACAATTAAATGTACAAAATGACCTTACTGTTAGAGAATGTTAGGGAAAAGTCGAGTTAATAAAGTGCGTGACAATTATAATTTTTGTTGTTTTCATGTATTTGATGTGTGGCAAAACCCCACGGAAATTTCCAATCTTTGACCAATTCAATGTCGAACTTATATTATTTTATAGTATATAACCTAAATATATGTTAAATAATTGTCATAAATGATTTTGCTTTGATCATATCAAGTCATGAATGCCAAAGTAAAATGTGTATTATGGTTAATCGCCATTATTATTGATCAGACCGTGAGTATTTTTCAATCATTATTGGTTATCGTTTTATAGGTATATTTTTATGCAACAAGATAGTAAATATATATATAAAGCTAATAAGTATTGTTTTATATTTTAATTACCAATTTTAAAACCAGACTTAGACGTTAAGATTTTTTGTTTTTAATACAGTCTTTCAATTAAATTAAACTATTATTTACACGTTTTAACAAATAAAAATTCTAATTAATCCAATTTTTATTCGATAAAATTATTAAAATTAAAATTAGAAAAATTTTGATTTAATTCTAAAATTCAATTTTATGAACTAATTAAAATTAATCTATATTTGTATTATATTAAATTCTATAGTTTACTTTCAGACATGTCAAAATAATGGTGACACTGCTGGTACTCCCGGTGCTGGTGGCGGTGTTGGAGCTACCGGATCAATTGGTGGTGCCGGGACTGCTAGTGGAGCTGGCGCTAATGGTAGACTAAGTGGTACTACTGGCATTGGTGCTACTGGTGCTGCTAGAGCGTTTAGTGCTTCTGGTTCCATTAGTGCTTCAGGCGTAGCTGGTGCAGCTGATAATGCTGGCACCGGTAGACAAGCTACTTTCGGTACATTCGGTCCAGCAGTTTTGGGTACTAATAGTGGTATGAATGGATTAGGCACAGGAGTATTAGGAGCTAATACGGGTATGAATGGATTAGGTACAGGAGTATTAGGAGCTAATACGGGTATGAATGGATTAGGTACAGGAGTATTAGGAGCTAATATGGGTATGAATGGATTAGGCACAGGAGTATTAGGAGCTAATACGGGTATGAATGGAATAGGTACAGGTTTGGGTTTAGCCGGAGTAGGCATACCGAGTACTACAAATGGGTTAAATATAAATGGAATGGGAATAACTGCAGGCACAAACGGATTAAGTATTAGTGGAGGATTGGGTATGCAAGGTATGTTGCCATTTCCATTTTTTCCTCCTTACGGATGTGAGATCAATTGTAACTTTCCATTAGCCATGTTGAATCCAACTATGCCAATAGTTATTACTCAAACCTCAATAACGACTCCCTCTACAGTTACTCGCCCAGTTGTTCCAGGTGAGAATTTAATATTGTAACATAATAGTATTGTAAGATAATTATTATAGTTATAAAAAAGAATATATTTTAACACAGGTAACAGCCAAATTGACGTGTACAATATTTATGTTTTATTTATTATTATAAATTATTAATAAATCTCAAAAAGTTGGAAAAATTGAAATTTAATTTTTATAAGTATTTTTTTAGTACATTATTTGTGAGTTTGAACAAAATAATTTAATAGACTTGTGTTTGTCACTTAAGAAAATAGTATATTTATTTTATGAGTATAACAATTATTCATGATAAAGTTATTTTTTTTTTTGACTTAAAATAAATAACAATTGAAATTCGGAAAATGTTTTTGACTTTTTCTTTACAATTAGTTGAATAACTAAATAACCATATGTCATATACCAAAGACAACAAAATTTGTTTCATTGTTTTTTTTCTGTGTAATTGAGTTTTATTTTATTTTTTTTATTTTATTTCCTACTAATTGCTAGAAGGTGACTTATTTGCTCAGTGGGTAATTTTTTATATTTTGATACGTGAGTACTGGGGTGTGATTTCGCTGCTCTAGGCGTTTCTCGTCCTCTTTGCTACAAAAAAGTTCTAGGAGAAAACGTTTTATATAAATAATGAATAACAATAATTGAATAGAATATAGCAATAACAAAATATATTTAGCTTATAAAAATAATAATTTTCTTTATTTTTGAAAACGTATTAATCGGTTTCTGTAAAAATAAATTCCTCGAAAATCATATTCTTCTTCTTCTTCTTCTTAGCCTTAATCCCAACTACTTGGGGTCGGCCACCCTTATCCTAAACTTCCACTTGACATGATCTCCTACATCGTCTACACTCACATCAGCCGTCCTTATATGACATACAATAATATCCCTCCATCTCTTTTTTGGTCTTCCTCTACCTCATCTTCCATCAACATTCATTTCTATAACTGTTCTTACAACTTCCGATTCTTCTCTCTTCGAAAATCATATTGATATATTTTATAAAACATCATATGGTATATTATTTACAACTTTATTTTGAAAATTATTAACTATTTAATTATAAACTATTTATTACCGAGACTTAATCACTCACTTTCGCCTTTGTCGATATCATACCTCAATAAGTATGTTGTAATATATTATTCATTTATAAACTTGTTGTATTCCGTTTTTTATTTATATATATATATTTTAGTTACACTACCACCAGTAACGACAACACCGAGGGTAACTGTTGCACCTATCCAACCTGTCCAAACCCAGTCAGTTTACAACACTCAGGTTTATTATGTATATCCTAACTGGTTAGTAAAATTTTAAGCAACGTTTTTATTTTTATGTAGACGCAAATACAGTACAAGCTTAAATTAAAAATAAACATATTTGTTTTTATAAATAATAGAAAATAATAATATAATATATGTATAAAGTGATCGATTTATCATAAACCACTCGATTACTCTCAAAATAAATATAATACAGAAAGAAATTTTTTTGCTCTATTTTAGTTACATATATTTCTTGATTTATCAACTAATAATTATTTTTTAGAATCATCCATTATAACTTATGGAGGTGTCAACTTTTTTTAATGGAAATATAGATAATAAACTAGCTTATTTATTAGATAATGATCTAATTAAAAGAACAACTGGTCGATTACAATATTTGAACCAGTACTTCGGAAGTTATTCTCGTTATTTAACTAAAATAAAACAAAATTTGTTTTTCAATATTGTATATATTTTGAGAGTAATTGAGAGGTCAAACCGATAAATCAAACATCTTGTGTATATTATTATTTTCTAATTATAATTAAAACCATAACTGTTTTAATTTCAGTCAGCTACTGCGACTTGATTATTTGCGTCTACGTGTGTTTAAAATGTATAAGTAAGTCTTGATAACTTTACAGGTGTACTGGATGGTGTAGGTTCTTGTATAAACCTCAACCAATGTATTATCAACCAAGCTGTATTTTATTCTCGTGGTTGGGTTTGTAATATCAAGTTATTTATTTAGTAATGTAATAATTTATTTATTTTTTTATTATTTTGCATACAAATATACCAACTTGACATAAATCAAAAAAAAAAAAAAAACAAATAATAATAATAAAGAACAAGTATTTTTTAAATAATTTTGTTTTATTATTATTTTTAATAAAATCAATTTTTTAATCATTTTTACATATTACTATTCATGAGAACATTTGAATGATATGAATCCTTAAATCGTAAGAGCAATTTGTGTTCTATTTATATACAAAATAAACATGTCTGTATAATATATCAATAAATAATAATTTCACTAGGTGATTATCGATTAACACTATAACGAAATATTTATTATATTAATTGTATTTATTTATTTGATCAAAATTATTTCTTCTAAAAAAGACAGACAATGAGATGTCACATGGAAAAATATTTTAACTAATTCAAATAATTATTTAACAATACTATAGATTGTTATGATAATAAAATTACATCGTCAACACCAAAATAATACTAATTAATAAAAAATATTTATAGAGCAATGCAAATTAATATAATTTTGAACAAAAAAAAATTGAAGACAGATAAAAATAATAATAACAATATCATAGTTTTTGATTTGATTCAGTGAAAAAAAATAATAATCAACTGGCTAAGTTAACCCTATCGTACAACAATAAGCTTAACAAAACTTAATAGAATAAAAAAATGGAACTATATGTACACTAAACGATTTGATATATAATACATAATGCGTAGTTTTTGGTGCACTTAAATAGGCTAATTATTATTAGTACTTTTAAATAATTAAAGTATTCTCATTTCTTGGGTTCAGCGGTTGTCTAATTGCTGCAATATTAATATACAGTAATTCAATTTTTAAGTATTTTGGCTTGTTCATTAAAGGTCACTTATCGAAATGCAATAGTAAAAAATATCCGTCAAAATCACAGACCAATACGCAATGACAACCGAAAATCCCTTTTTTTTAACTTCACTACTTTTATATCTATTGTACTAAATTATATAAGTTCTAAAACATGTATTTATATATTTACATACACTCATTTATTTACCGTACAAATAAATATCTTCATACTTTGAAATTTCTTACAAAAATTTATATTTACTTTAATCATAAATGTAAAAGTATTTATATTAATTAGTTTAACAATAATAATAATAATGATAAAAATATAAAGTGGAACCGAAAAGAGAGATGAGCCGAAACGAAAAACACATTATTCTATTGTATTCAATTAATATCGAAAAAGAATAAATTTTACCCAATTTCCACTACTTAATATAATATTTACAATGATTACTATATTACCTTATGATGCAATAATATGTCTAATAGTTTAAAAAGAATATAAAGGTGAAATCGAATGGATTCATCTTTCCGGGCACTTCAAATAAAACTATAAGTCTTATATTAACTGGTCTCAAAAAGTTAAAAAAAAAAAGATTTTCGGCCTCTTAGGTGTCAAAATACCAATTTACATTTAAGTCAAAACTTTTTCAAGACTAGAGACCGTGGTAGACTAGAAAACAAAACTTTATTTTTACAACGTAAAGCTAACAGAGTGTATAAAAATATACAAATGAAAATGTTTTGGCTGTGCTTTTGGAGACTAAAGATTTTTGACAGTCTTCTAGATTTTAAATAAAGTTTTATTTTTAGGTCAATTCCCCATTACACTTTGAATTATTATACAGTAGTAATTTTAATAGTTATAATGAATAATAATAATAATAATACGAAGAAGAAGAAGAAACTGTACAACATCACAAATTATTAAAATAGGACCACAAACGAGTGATACAAATCAAACGATATTATATTTTTGGGATACATATTAAACTCTAAAAAAATTGCACATTTTTTAAAAATTATATTTAGTATAAATATCTTATGTATAATTATTTACAAAATAGTGTGTACAAAACATTAAATACATATAAATAATAGTAATAATAATAAAAAAGAATTAACTACGCGTTACTCACGTCGAGGAGATTGTGGTAACATATCGATGTGTTTACAATATATCAGTTATATGTTTGATTTTTTAAAATTCGTTGTTCCACGTTTTCTCCTCCTTTACACTGATTGGTTCCTGATCACGTTCGCCGTCTGATCCATGCTTAACTGAGCTTGTCTCTGAAGGGGTGGACCGACCAGATTTAGTTCCATCATTGATGTCTGTAGGTTCCACTCGAACGGTTTCCGACCTTCTTCTCTCGTTGCAACCATCAGCCGCTTGCATAACACAAACTCCATTTATAATCACCTCAGATTGTGATTGCTGTTGTTGTTGCTTTTGTTCGCTATGCAACCAGTCTGGGTTGACCCACTGTGGTGCGGCTGGCTTTCGCCGTGAACTGCCCACCACTGGAACTGCAGGTGCTTCTTCTCGAACTTCAGACTCATCGGATCGGCTTTCGTCGTCATCATCATAGAAGTCTGTGTCCATTTCGTGTTTAACACTAAGATCCAAGCCAGACATTTGTTCATCAACTGTGGCTGCTGAGGATGATGAAGTTGTTAACATAGGCATAAAGGATGAGAGGTCACCACCAGCAGCTGCAGCAGCAACGGCGGCATGTTGCAAGTATGGATTTCCGGCATTAAATGGTAAGGGTAAACCTCCAAATCCAAGTCGGTGGCTCAATAATATTCTAAATTGAATAGGATCGAAACCAGGTCCATTTTGCGATTGCTGTTGCTGAGAGTCAGAGTGAGGTGATTGTTGCTTGATTCTCATTCTATGATTATGGAACCAATTGGTAATAGTCCTAGTAGCCAAATTCAATTCGGAAGCTAGGAACTCAATAGTACCCACACTAGGATATTGATCTAAAGCAAATGCCAGCTTAAGAGCTTCTTTTTGTTCATCCGAAAATAACACCTAAAAAATAAATAACAATTTTAGTTGTGTTTTCTCAAAATATTATCATTAAAAATAAAATAATAAAAATTACAACAAAAACAAATTAAATAAAATAAAAAATGGAAGTAAATCTTACTCTCTGTTTTTTAGCAGCAGATGGAGGACTACTGGTACCACTGTGATAGAAATCAGAATTGTCATTGGATGACGTATCACTTCCATTGTCTTGCTGACCAGAACCTCTTCGCCTTTTATTCATTTCTCTTCTTTCACTTTTTATAGCCTGTAATCTTTCAACATTATGTTGATCTGAAAGCCAAAGTTGCATTCGAATGAATGGTTCACGGCCTTTAATACTTAACATATGCCATGGTTTTGGCTTGGATAATAATTCACTGACTGATCCTTGAGATAGTCCTAATACGGCTTCTCCGAATATCTTTAATTAAATAAACTAATTGGTTAGTGAATAAATACATGATATAAACAAATTATTTTACTTACTTTTTGTCCAATATTGTTGGCTAATAAGGCTTCTTTGATTTTTGTAGTGATAGTTTGGGTATCGAGATCTTGGGTTAAGGCTGCCATTTCATAAACGGAAGGTACAACAGGAGGTGGATGGCGTGATCCTGGGTTTTGAAACGCTGCTGCTACGTGTTGTAACATAATGTTTTGAGGGAAACCATTATTTGAAATCGAAGATTTTAGTTTGTTTTCACCAGCCATTATTGTTGCTAATTGACTTCCAGAAGTGATCAACGATGAGGCAGTAGAAGCCGATACATGAGAATGACCTCCAGGAGACTGAAGCTGCAAATGGTGATTGTTAGGTGATTGTAATGACGATGCTACATCTGAGTCTTCCGATACTGTAGATGTATTACAAATAGAATTAAGCATTTGGTGATGAGGGGTTTGTCGGTCATTTTCGGCATTGACTTTTAAGAGATCTAAAGGTGAAGGAGTCATTTTGCCACCAAATGGATGGGACGATTTTGCTAAGGACTGATTCATAGCTGTAAAAAGAAGTATAATTTAACTTTATTTGCTATAATAAATAATTTTTTTTTACTTACGACTTGCACCACCATAACCACCAGTTCTCATTAATTTTTCTGGGGCAATTTTATACTGAGAAGCAACTAGTTTATGCACGGCTTTGTCATCTTCCAAGAACATTTTCATTCGTATAAAAGGTTCACGTCCCTTTTGAGTCAACATGTGCCAAGGTTTTGGTCTAGCTAAGAGATCGGACACACTTCCTTGAGAAAGACCCAACACAGATTCGCCAAATAATCGCTGACTAATGGAAAATTGACTTAATTGTTCTTTGACTTTTCGTACGATTTCTTCAGTATTTAAATTATTAAATTGATCAAATTGTTGTTGAGTAATAGGTGGTAACACTGCCTTTAAAGGCCGTTGTGAGGGTGAATGATGATGTGGTGTAGAGGGTTGAGAAATTAAAGCGTTAGTTATTGAAGCCATTCGTTGCAGCGGACTAACTGCAGCAGATTGATTAAAATCTTCAGGTGGTAAAATCGAGTTACCCAAAGGTGAACTGGCTGAGCTACCAACAGAAGATGTTCCACCTAATGAAAAAGTTCATAATTAGTCAACAATTTAAGAAGATATATTTTTTTAATATAAAATTATAGAATTTTATCCAAACATACTTGGCTCAGTTTTTGGTTTAACGAGAGAAAAAGCACTACCAGCGTGTTTCATTGCTTCAGCCACACTCTCTGCTTCTTTGTCTGAAATATCAGTTCCATTAACTTTCATACCAAAATCTTTTCGTTGTACAAACGCAAACATGTCTTTCCTATCTTTAGGTATAGACAAATCTTGAGCCATACCATTCCCTTGAATAGTATTGTTATTGTTAGCCATTGCCGCTACAGCTGCTTGTTGCTGGAGGGCTAATAATCCGGATAGTTGACTTTGTGGGCAATTTTGTAATTTTGACAATTCGCGATGGTAGGCATCCAATGCTGTTCTGATATCTTCGTGATTACCAGTATGATTTCCGAAAAATTGTGGAAATAGCCAACCGGCAAATGGTTGTTCTCCACTTCTCATGGATTCTTCCAATCGTTTACCCATGAGTTTTGAAAGTTCTTCTTGGTAAAGTCTAGCAACTTGTTCTTGAGGCAAATCTTCCTTGAATTTTGATCTAGATGGTGAGGTATTCTATACATGATTTTAAATAACAATTATTTCTCTTAGGAACATATTAAAAATATTTGATTTGATAACTTACATTTAATTGATTAGGTGATGTACTATCATTGCTCTGGGTATCATCTTGTTGTTGACTGGGCTTCATCATTTGACTAGCCTCGTTCAGTATGTGTACAATACGTTCATCAGTTACATCATTGTCTGATTTACACATAACTGTCGGTATGCCAGAGTCTTTACCTATAAAAATGAGTACAAGGAGTTCTTCTTTTAAAATAAAAATTCCTAACTAAATTAACGGTGCCCAAAAACTAATATTCATAGTATTTGTAAATGTAATAGTACATAATTAAATTAAAATTATCTCCTTTTAAAAAATTTCTGTTGAAATATACACAATATATTTTTTAATATATCTTATATATTTAATTTTTTTTTTAATTATTAAATTTATGTTTGATTTTTAGTACTAAAATAAATTTTGCTATTATAATTAATTTTTTTTTTCATTGATACTTTGTTATACTGGAAGTTGACTAAAGTTATAAAAAGGTTAAAATGGGTATCATGGTTTTAATTAGTATGTTCCAGAATATTTTGAACACTAGAAAAACAAGAACTTAATTGATATTGGACATTTGACCCTCTCGTATTTGCCTACTTGAATGGTCGAGATTAATGGAATTGTTTTGGGTACATTAGCTGTAATCGTTTCGTAATACCATACCTTTTTTCGGTATTAAAGACTTGAGCAGCATAACCGCGTTCTCATCGCAAGCCCATGCATGCATTTTCCTGTAGCTATCGCGTCCTTTTTCGGTTAATTTGTCCCATGGCTTTGGTTTAGACAATAGCTCACTTACGGTCCCTTGTGACAGTCCAAGTATATACTTGGCAAACAGTCTCTGTCCAACATTGTGAATTGACAGTAGTTCTCGCACACGACGAGCTATATGCAATGTGTCTAAATTTTGTGTGGAGTATTTGTCCATATTATATCTGTTAAAAAACATGTTGTGATTAGTTAATTAAGATAAAAGTTTGTTTTACAGCTATACATAAGCAATATTTTTCTCTTTAAAACTTTTATTTAAAATGTAATGTCTTCATTACACACCTGAGCATTTCTTGAAGTCTAGCTTCCATAGGATCTCCTTTAGGTATAAGTGACTCACCAAATCTTCCGACCATAGTACAATCATTATCAGAAAAACGATACGGAGATCTATGATCAAATGGAGACTTAATCAAATCAAATCCTAATGCCCCAGCTGGTCCTAGAATGTTGTTGTTGAGCCCTACGTTGAGGCCGCAAAGTCCATTTATAAGACCCGCTGGTATGTTATTATTGTTGTTCATTTGCGAAGGGTTATTATTATTGTTGTGTGGTGAGCTACTATTAAGTCTCGGTGAACTGTTTGATTCACTTGTTGGAGATTTGCATGATGATCTACTAGTTGATCTCGCTTGATGAGCGTTACTGGATGGTGAAATTGGCGATGGAGAAGTACTGGGTGCTGGTGATTTAGCAGAATCCAAACAAGGTGATTTTTCTTTCACTGAAAAATGTATATAATAATTAATTACATATATTTAAATAATAGCTAATCAAATTTATTTGTATTCATCCCGATGCCTCCTCCCCCTCTCATCAACACGCTTTTAGTCTATATACTTGTCCTTACCGGAGCAGTTTTCTTGTCGGCTCGGAGAAGTATAGACTTTCTTGTTTTCAGAATGATTGCGTTCGAGAGCTCTTCGCCAGTTAGCCACGATCTCTTGGCCGAGTATCGGGCCAAACTGTTCAACGTTTTGGAGCCCGAGAGGGGGTGGGATCACCGGAACTGAAAAATCATCTGTAGGCAGACAATCGGGTAGATTTAGATGTTATACTGTTTGATAAATTTATTGGTTAACCAAAAAGCTAAACCAATTTATTTTGTTAGTATACTTTTTGTTTAATGTTTACTTACTGTGCATGTCGAGTGTAGGACTGCAAGATAACCGCTGAGGCTGAGGCGATGAACCTCGCATGGTCGTCTCAGATTTATCGTTGTTCGGTGACTTGTCGTTAGGGTCATCTGAACATTCGACGGCCTTCAGCACACTAAACACACAAACGCATATAATCATATGTTAATAATATACTAAATAAAAAATAGTTTATAAAAATATAGGAATAATAACAGTTCGTTTCAACGAGTTTTATTGTTAAAAATCACCTAGAAAATGAATACTTTATTATGACTCATTTACTATATTGGCCCCCCGTTGACTACCAACTTATTGTATAAGGTGCGATTCCGCATCGATAACCATCTCCTCGTTTCATATAATTAATATTGGTGACAATATTTATTATTATTTCTTATGTTTTAACATCAGTCTTAGGATATATCTTATAATAAACTAGTTTGGATCCACATGATTTTAAAATATCATCCAGTCTGGTTAATATTACACTAACAATATCGACTGTCCGCGTATTTATACATTTTTCATGTTATTGTCGAACAAACTATAAAATAAAAAATCTAGTTTTGAACTTGTTTGCATTTGTTGTTTCAAAATAATATGTTTAAATAACGTTTGAAATAATTAAAGCAAAACATATGTATGTTATATTATTTTTGTTGGCTCGTGCGCAAAGCTGTACTTGAGCGATATTGTTTTTGAGAGTTATTTATTTATAGTCACAAACAACGATATCGTTGTCGTTTCCATTGGAATTTAGTTAAATTGAACGGGCTTGATGATGATAACGATTACGGACATGACGGATATTTTATTTAATTTATACGAAGACTTATCGAATGCGATTATAAATAAAAATATATATGTGTTATCTATTCTTAAAACCGTCATGTATGTATGATATTTTGGCGCCGGTGCCAAGAATCAAACAATTAGTAAAGAAATTGATCGAATGCCAGAGATACAGGGTAATTGAATGACAATTTTCGATGAGCACTTGTGGATGAACAAGTAATTACAACTCACCATAACTGTCGTTTGACTTCTTCGTAATCTCTTTGTGCGTCTAACCGTGCTTCCAGTCTCAAAATGTGCTGCCTTTTGTCGTGTAACTCTTCTTCCAACCTGGCAATTTCTTTGGCAGTGTTTTCTTGCAGTTTCCCGATGCTCGACTGAAGTTTACGCACGTCTTCGACTAATTGTGAAATCTGCAAAACACACAAAAAGAAATCAGTCATAAAGTATAAGCTAATTTAAATATCTTTTCTAAAACGCGGTTAAGCGTATAATAATCGATAATGTGTTTTAAAAATGATGGACACTCTATCAACTTAATTTTATACGATGTAAGTATAAATAAAGGGAGCAAAGGGAAAACAAAGATAGGAAATTATTACTGTTTATATGTTTTGCATCAAAAACCCGTTAAGAGACGGCCGTCACGGGAGTTAATTACCAAAATACGACTGTCGCTTTTAGCCAACCGCAGACATACACGAACCAGAAAATAGTATTTGTTTTTCACCAGCAATGTTAATTTTTTTTTTTAATTATCATAAAACGCGTATGCGTCCCTTTACACCAAACTCGCCACAGTAATTACATTATTAATATTTTTAGAAAAATAATGTCTGTACGGTTTTACGTTTGTTTTAATATTAACAATTCGTAACGAGATATGCAGTCAGACTGAGTAAAGGGATGAACGAAAGATCCATTTACTGAAAGGTTCTATACGTCCCACACTTCTTTACCCTTTTCCTTTTTATCGTTGGACGTTTCAAATAGAAAAAATTTTCCAACAGATACTGTAAACATATACACGTTTCGATATTATTTGTTTGACTAGTGTCATATATAAAGAGTCGTAAGCATCAACATTGATTATACTTTTTTTATTAACAATAATACTGTTGGTATATATGAAACTTAAAATATAATAGGTGATGTAACGCAGTGTTGTAGAAATCACTCGCAATCGGCAAATATAGTTTTTTTTTCCCATTAACTTATTGAAAATTCATTTTGGACGTTAAAAACGAACGTAACGCGCTGCTTTGTTTTGTGCAATGTATAATTTTTTGGGGAAGGGGTAGGGTGGGAATAAAAAATTATCAATTATTGTTATTCTTAGTACATACGCAAAAGTTGCGTGGGTACAATAGACTTCATGGGACAATAATGATAAAAACCATGTGTTTGCAGTGTAGTTACGCAATTCCGTCATCGTATGGCAAACAGTTGAATAACGTTGGCAAACAATCGAACAATAATTTACATTAGCAACCATTATAATTATTGTCATGAGCGACGAATTGGCGCGGTAAGTTGTGAGCACTGTTTGCAGACGACTAATAGATTCGCCAACAATAAGCGTTACAATTAATATAATGACGATTATCAAAAGCTTTGCCAGATTGAGTTGTAGAAATATTGATGGAAGTCTTAGCCTCTAATATAACCTAATAATATTCTATGAATCACACAGTAACATAGAAATCTCACATGAATAAACATTTACACACGCAAACGTGTAGTTAAATTATAAAAATGGGAAAACGAAGGTAGTGTACGTGATAAAACAAGAAATGGAAGTACATAATAATAATAGTATTAAAAAAACGCGAAGAAAAATCGTATTAAAGCAAAACAGAAGTCGTTGTTCGGGTCAGCCCGTAATTTGTTCCAATTGACTAACCGCAATAAATCTTCTTATGATGTCAAAAAATCATCGGTTTCCTGTTTCCTGTGCTTTTTACTATGCAACATGACGTCTGCGCGACAGCCCGTTAATATCATTGTCCATAGGTACAAACACAACGTCGATTCGAAAAATCTGTACAAAAGCATTCGAGTGCGGCAATGCTCACAAGGTCACACAACCGAATATTGAATACTAATAACCGTTTTTATTAAATTTTTTTTCGATTTTCGTTGACGACCGTACCAAAAATCACGCCGTGTTTGTTATTCTTAATGGCTGCGGGTCAGTCATCGTCGTCGAGCCAAAGGGGCGAACACTCCCCTTTGCGTGTGAGTGTTTGCGTTGACCATCGGTGCTCTCAAAAGAAAACGATTATTTTGCATATCGATTTTACCGAGTACAATTAATTTTGTTCACCCTTAACTACTCATACTCTAACTCCCCCGAATTACGAGAAGGGTGCAGACTGGTGTTGCAGAATCGTCGAGAGAAAAGCAATAACTAGCATCTCTAATTATCTAAAGAAAAAAAGCAGCCCCAACCGCGTTTAATACGAACCATAAAAAGAGAAACCGGTTGGATTACCATATGTAAGTAAATCGAAAATACCGGTTACCCGCATTGATTGATCCCTTTGTGATGTAATTCAATAATATTATTCTGCTTTTGAATAACGGTCAAACTATTACAATTAAATCAGTTTGTACGGGTCAAATACCTAATAAAATAAATCGTTTAGAGATTTTCCGTGTTGACCAATTTACTCGTCAACATTTTTACGTATTCACTCGATTTAATTATTTTTGTACAAATACATAACAACATTGTTTTCTCCCTGTGGCGTTTTATTTGTAAGAGATCGACCGACCGTGTCGTACGTACATATTATAGATTCATGATTACAAATGTCTTTTAGGGGTATGAATAATATGTTTCAAAGACATCTGCTGTTGCTACAAAGAAAAATGATTTTCTCTGAGAATAATTATTGTTCTCTAGTTTAATGTATAATTAATTATTGAAGAATCACGATGGTGCTTTTCGATTTTTTTAAAAGCATACCAAAACTATAAATTGTAATATTATCGTATTTCCTGATGTCACATAAACCCAGAGTCAAAGCACATGGCAAAAAAAGTTGAAAAAAAAAGTGATCGTGGGACCCTTCAGGTTTTGTGTATATATTAATAATCTTCATTAGTGTATCGAACACTACAACAACTGCACCGTATGGACGGATCCTTTTCTCAGGGTCTATCATCATCCCCAAAAGTAGCACCCCCGCACCACCACACATCTAGTTAGGATACGCGTTGTGTACCTTCTACATCCCTCATATCCTTCCTACATATATTGTACTTTTTACACACGTGTTTCGATAATAATTATACATGCGGCAAGTCGTACAAAATACATTATGCATAATATTATTAAGCGTATACGAACAATACTGCACCATTTGGGGGTGGTATATACTGTGTACCTACTGTGTGAAGAAAAAGTAGTGTTTCACTTTCTCGTGTAACGTAATACTCTATTGAAAAAAAAAATACGTTTTAACGGTTTTTTTTTGCTTTGAATTCAGTATGATAGTCTATACATGTATATTATGATATAATGTGAGTTAAATTAATATAAGCTACTCGTCATAATTTTAAGATAATTTTTTTTAACAATTCTGATTTTTTTTTTACAAATAAAACACAAAAAATAATATAAGTTTTGCATTACTCTGATGTCTTTATCTTTTTGTGACTATCAAGTGAAAGAAATTAAGAAAAAATATTTTTTTAATTAAACAAATAGCATTAAAACAAAATTTATCTTGTTCGTTTGAAGTCACCGCCGCCGTCGTAAATCTCAGTGTAAATTTTTTAAAAAAATTTCCCATCAACAAGACCAAAATGTTGAGTGATATTAAAAAGGTTGCAGACAACAATAATGATTTCAATTACCTTGATTTTTTTTTTATTTTTATTATTAGTTTATTTCCACTAACGTTATCATTTCGGCCAAAATATTTTTTGTAAGATGTTGGTAAATTATAATATTGTATTGTATAAAAAATGATGTACTTATCAAGCAGTCGCGTTCTCTCTACCAAACCAAGATAGTGTATATCTCACGAGCAGAGACAATAAAGTATAGTGAATACAAAAGGTTCTTTATTGTGTTCCGGAAAGCTATTGATTATCGACAAGTGCCGATGAAGGGATTTGAAAATCGACTGGTGAACTTGTATATGTCTGGCATGAGTGGTGGCGGAGGCAATAAGATAACGGTTGCAAGGGCCTGCAGAGCGAGTGATTAAGCTTCTCTTTTCCTCGCACTGTCCGCTCACCTACTCCCCCGTCCACCGGCGGAGGCATATAAAACAGCATCCAGCGGGAGGGAAGCGCCCTGACAATTAGACAGATACGGCAAGTTTAAACCCTTTTCTCCCCTATCCTACGCCGCGCTCCCTTACATACATACACACTCACATTTCGAATATTTCTTCTACCCATCATCCCTAACAAGCCCGATCAATTCGCTCTCATGCAAAATATACGAAGTAGTTTTAGATATCTCTTCTCCGTTCCATCATTACACACCGCCTCCCATGAGCAACCGCTACCGTTGGACCTACCTTCTGTCGGTGGCATATACTCACCCTCGCCGTCGTCCTTCAACACACACACACACACACTGCTCATCACTGTGAACCCGCACACCACTGTCAATCCTTTTACATCAAGTGTACGTATACGTACAACAAAAGCACATTCGTGACGAAACGCGCGCACATAGGAAATTCGATTTTATTGTATATTTCGTCTTCCGGTTGCGAAACGTGGGCGGTTGGAGGGTGCGGGGACGACAACGTTTAGAATATTTGTCAATAGTTTTGGTAGAGTTATTTTGCCGTTAAACTAAACACGGATATCAAAATAAATTACACGCATATTTTATTATTCCAGGTGTATTATAATCGTTTTTTCTTTCGCCGTTATAGTTGTGCGCAGGAAAAAGTATTCTATCCGTACGGCGGACTCGATAGGTTTTCTAAAAACGTCGTAGCTCGTCAAAATCTGTTGGAAATCGACCTTTGAAAATAAAAAGTGTACGTTAACACCTGATTGAAGATTTATTTATTTATGTACAATTTAAGTAAAAACCGGTCCGCTTGTATCAAAACGAATCGATTGTAAAACCATGTACCGCAGATGAGTGTTGAACTGGTCTCAATAGAAAGAAAAACATTTTTCATTGTGCACAACGATCCTTTCACGGATTCCGTTAGAAGGGATAAGTAGGCGCTCGTTACCTGGAGCAGTTGCGAAAGGGATTTTCCCCGTTCGACAGTTTAATCCGGACGACATTGAGGGGGTGGACAAATAAAAGGACACGGTGGTCTAGTTACATAATAGAATAAACTATCGGAAAGCCGTTTATTGTAAAACATTCACGGTGTACACGCGTTTAAACGCTGAGAAATAAACGCGCCCAATCGAAACCGATACATAAAAGCGAATAACGTCCTACGTTATATTAATATGGCCACGATAAATTCGTTTACCGCGCGCACACACACATGCACACAACCTGTATAACCAGTTTTTCTCCGTGTACTTTTTTTGTCTTTCATTGTACGTCCATCACACCCGACCGCGTGACTGTGATATGCATGTATATGGACACAATGTATCATCCGTATACGGCGATTTAATAATACGCGTACAGCATTGATTGCCTATATTATATAATAAAAAATATATAGCTCAACAATATCGTATCCCAAGTGCAGCGCTCGTAAGCTCCGCTCCGCCATCCGGTTTTTTCCCATCAAACACAAATCGTTTTGCTGCACATAGAATATGACCCGCGGCTACGTTTCTATAACGTACCGGCTGTTAATCTATAATAATTTCTCGGGAATTATTAAAATATTTACAGTCGAACCATTTCATCGCGGTAATAATAATTATAATACACACATGCACATGATTGTTTCATTTTGTACACTCGGGATAATCGTGCTGGACAGTAGAACCATTTCGTATACTAATTATTCATGCCGAGATACTGTGTATGTTATGCTTAACGTTTATAAGACAAGAGTCGTAAATCATCAGCCACAGACAATGACAACGAGCACGATCATTTGTGTACAGAAATGATAAGTTCGAACATCTCAAGTAAAAACTATTCAGCAAACAAATCCGCATTGGCAATATCGAATACTACACTGTTTCAAACACCTCTGGCATGCATTGCGTACCTATGGCGGTAATAGATTGCGCTTATGTGAGCAAAAATTGGCGGGATCAAGGTCGGGCAAACATCGGTGTTGTTGAATGAAAGAATAAAAAACAATTCGCACGAGCAACGACGCGCGTTGCTAACGACCACACCGAACTTCTCGACTATACAGTAAGATTAATTTAAAAACTCCATGATGCATACTTGTATTAATTTAAAATTTGCTAGCTCCGCGGCACGCGGTTTCGGTATAGTAAAATGTAATTAATCTTTTCTTGTAAACTAATTTGACTGTTTAACAACACTTTAGTTGCAACAAAAGATTATGCCGTTGTAAGAATGGCTTGCACTTTGTCATTACCGCGATGCATGTAAAAGAAAGTTTCTGCACGCCAATAAGTATAATTTGTGCAGATATATACGGGTATACTCGTATATATACATATATGTATCGACGCGTTTTGAGGGAGACGGACGGACAACGTACAGCGATCGTTGTAACGTATAATAAGGTTACTTTTGACGGACTTTGGGATCTCGGTGGTCGTGAATGGATAGTAGGGCGATTCGACGGCAAGGATGAGGCAGCAATAAAGTTGGATATATGAAATTTCGTAATTAGAAGGCCCGTCTATACGTTGGTGTGTGTGTGTGCGATGAAGCGAAACAGAGGGCTAATCAATAATTCAAACTCATTTTAAAGCACGTAAATATGTGCCGGTGTGTGTGCGGGCACGAGATGCCGAACCCCGGAGATATATCTTCAAATCAAGATGGCCGCGTCAATCGTCTATTGTTTTAATAGTTGCCGTAGGTGGGAGTTGTGTATAAACCCCTTTAGCGCGTTGATGAGTGAGCGATTGCGGAAAGGCGCTGGGAGACGGCGGGTCGGTGTTGCGAACTCGTTTATACATATATATGGCCCGTTATGTGTGCCCATCTATCAACCCTCATTTTCTACCCTTCGGCGACCACTCGTCATATGTATATTATAGACAATGCGAATTTGTGTATACGAAAAACGTATTGTGGGAGATAACGAACGAGATGTGGCGAAGAAAACTGATGCGGGCGGACGGGTGGGCGCGGACCGAGTAAGAGAGGCAGCCGTCGAACAGAGAGACGGCACTAAAGTACACAAGCATATAGGCCTAATACTCGGAAAAGATTTTGTGGTGCGTGCAAATTATTGGTCTGCTAAAGCCGAACAAACGCGACGGATAAAAAGTAACCAGATGAATCGCTCGAAATCATTTTTACTCTTCAATATTTATTGCGATAGAATAGTCGACGTTGATTCAGCTGGCGTGTTACGCTTAGTAATTTGTAATAATCATAATTATTTGCGACGCCGGTCGATGTGCTTAAGTATCGTTGCATTAAACCCGATTAACGACACTGTACAGCACTTTTGTTTCGAATAGAAGTTTCTCTTCGGTTGAAACTTTCAGTGGATTCGCGACGAATCAAATTCAATAGTCGATTGCCGCTTAAGTCTCGATTCGGTTGGAAATCATGATAATTTTTTACAACTACATACAACCGGTATCTGTGAAAATAAAAATATAATAGAAATTCGTAACACGGTGTACGTCGGTCTTAATGCGTTCAAACGACATTATGAAAGCAAACACACTGAAAGTTTATAAGCTACCTATGGAACATAATAATATGATATTCAAAGAATAGTGGCTGTGTTTAACATGCGACCGTGTATTATAATGCATAGGCATTGCGATATTAATCGATGAAAAAAATTCATCAATCATTATACACATCTGGATTGGTCAAAACAAAAAAGCACTTATTCGTTGTAAATTGTACAAACACTATTGTATATTAAGTGTACGCTAAATTATTATATTACCTACGAAGTGAGGGTAAATGACTCGAGTAGAATATTTTAGTTCTTCGTGACCTCATCATTGACGACGGCGGTGTTTATTATTATAAGCGTATACAATTGTTTTGCGTGTCTTGCCAGTCGACCGGGTTCGATTTTTATACTTAAGGGCTCCGTCGTATCGCTTATACCCGATCATATCAGTTATGGCAAAACATGGGAAGCCGACGGCGGGAGGGTTAGGGGCTACTGAGGTACCTATAACGTTGGAAGTGTATACACACAGTCGAACACTACGTATACGCACAGTAGGAAATGCAGATGTAATAAAATCAATCCCAAAGTTTAGAGCACAAGACTTATTATGCGTCCAACGTAATAGCGTGATTGGACGTGAAACGGAAGGAAATTGCGTGATACAAGTGGAAAATTTATATCGTACGGGAAACCTATAACCACCGCTCCACCATGCCGATCCTAAACACACACCTTTCGGTTCGTTTTCAGTTCGATGGCGCCATTTTGTATAGATTTTTTGGTTACGGCAGATTTACATTTTCATATCGGTTCGCCCAAAGAATATTTACTTGTTGTGTCGTGACATTTGTCGTATCCAACAAAAAACGTTATGTATTTTTATAGATTTCCGCCCCATTGGTATAACTATTATGTATAGTCTGCGTGAAAGAAGACTAAGAAAGGTGTTTTTATTGTCGAGACGCGAGACGATAAAGCGGAGCGGCAGTTCGGACTGTAGGCCATAATAATAATAATAATAATAATAAAACACGCATCATCCGGTGCTGCAAATGTTTGAATAAAGAATATTGTAAGTGCATTTTGAATAATATTTAATTTACTTTACAATTTAATTTCTGTCTATTATTCAGGTAAGTAAACATGGTTTGTTTTTTTTTTTTGGTACAGAGAGCAAATGTCGGAAGTCGATGTTTGCGTGTGTTATTACTTATTTGTGCGATTATAAAATATAAACATAAATATTTTATTCGAACTGGTTCAACAAAAAAACACGGTCGACTTGACTGTAATGCTTTTATCGTGTTAGTTTATTATATGTGCAATCTAATTGGCTTACTTCTTTCTCTTTGGCAGAAAGTTCAAGTTCGACGGGCGTTTTATTCTGATCCTCGGTGGACTCGACATGATTGCTCAAAGGCGTGGCCATGGTCATGTCGTTTGTGTCTTGTGCTTTGTTGTTGGTCAACTTTTCCTTCAAGGCAGTCACTTCTTTTTCCGCCAAAGTAGCTCTCTGAAATAACAAAAAAAAAAAAAATTAATCCATCGTTATCTAACAAAAATCACCGTCATCCGGCCCCTCTATATCATCGCTAACAACAATAATAATAGTACAGCTACCAGCAGCTATACTGTTGATAAGCATACACATATTACCGTACGATATAGAACCTATCCAATTTATATACAATATCCGTGCACGCATATTTATATGTTACTCATATATTGAACGTGATTGAAAATAATAGCACACATTGTTACAAGCCGCGTTGTTCGGGTCAATTTGCGAGACTTCCTGCCACAGATCCCGTGCGCATTAACGAGAAAACCACTTGACGGCCAATCGATTGAATCCGGTCTAGTTAAACGCAGGCGGAGGACGACATAAAAAAACAACTAAGATATGACGAGTATACTACACACAATAAGCTTTTGTCTTTATCGAATAGTCATTTGAGTATATCGACTTTGCAACATAATATTCCAAATAATTTACTAAAATTGTTATTTTTAAAATAGGTTTAAAACGGTGCCTACTGTTTGGACCTCCTGCTCTATTGGTATACACTTAATGCTATTAATTTATTCAATAACGCCGTTTAAATTGTTCCGATACATAAAAAATAATACTATCGAACGGCAATAAATTTATATCAGATCAACCGATGCGGCTATGGGAGGTGTCTCAAAGTAGGTGGAACTATTGGACCGTAACAAGCGCCATTGGACCGGCCCAACCGATAAATCGACGGCAATATAATGTGTATATAATACAATGCATGCGTCCTTCTTTATTTTTTTTCTCCTTCTTTAGCGTGCACAGTTCTATTTACTCCTCATTCTTTTCTCCGATCGAGACTACGGGCTCCCCCCCCCCTACCGAACTCGTGCATGCGTTGGCGATCGAAAGCCAGCGGATTCTCTCTCTCTTCATCTTCTTTGTTGTCGAAGTCGTTATAGGTTACAAATGCATACAGTATACATATATTTTTTTATCGTCAACTCTTTTAAACCTCAACGATCGGTCACGCCCACAATACACAAACGCCGATGATCGAGGACTGATTGAGCGATCACGTTTTTTTATTGTTTCACGATACCGTTTGCTTTACTAGCGTCACAATGTGAACGCATAATGAAAAGTTTGATATTTTTCCACGCTGTTTATAAATAATTAGATTGTATACTCATACGGTGATGTGGGCGTCATTAATTTTTTTAAATATATTTCATCGTCAAGCGGCGACACTACGTATGTCTATGGACCACGTGTAAATGAATCTATTATACTTTTATTAGTACTGTCAAACGAAATAAAAAACAATTTATCTCAATAGAAAAGCTTTTCGACACGTCTCCTTCCACCTGAAACCCCGAAAACGTGGTTAGGTCCATTACCCATCATTAAGGGCGTATGTGTGTGGGATACAAATCGCGGTTTGTCCCTTCTCCAACGTATAAACAAGAGTGGAATAAAAAAAAAAAACTCGTATAATCTGTGTTTTTTACGCGGAAACCTATAAAGGGTGACTGTTTTTTTTTTTTACATCAACAACAAGACAAACATCACCCTTCAAAATGTATCCGCACGTAAAACCGCGGGGAGGGATAAAAACAAGGCTATTTTTCATTTATCCATCAGTAACGCACTTAATATTCATTAACGCCAGTTTATGTAACTCGGAAAAAAATTCATACGTTATTTAAACATGAAATAAAAGCGCATACAGTGACTATAATAAATGCAATTGGTTTTAATGAATATTAGGACGGGTGGTATATCTTATTGGAAATTAAAACTGAAAATTTTTCATAATGTTTATGGTATTTTAATGAGAAGCATTACGTAATATCGACTCGTAATTTTTGTATTAGTTATTTCAAGTCCGACTCTAAATAACAATACCATTTCACGTTTTTTCCCTACGTTGTTTTTTCCATCTGGCTGCCGATACATATCTAAACGGAATAATAATTAATTAATACTGATAAAATTACACCTGCGCCGCCTACAATTTAGACATATTTTCTCGCTTAATTTATTCAAAACTCAATAACGAAACCATTAGCCGTGTCCGCCGCAACGACTAAAAAAACGTTTTTGAAATATCGAGATACGTACATTTTGCCGGAATACCGTTCGGTTATTATTATTATTATTTTTTTTTAATAAGCAATACGACCATAAGTCTGTAATATATATCGAATATTTACAAATTAATTATTTGACCGAACATTTGACACACGTCCGGCCACCCTTTTGTTGTGCCACGCACGTGAGTCTCCTTCACTTAAGGTTCGAACATTGTGTACAAATAATATAAATCACTGATTCGAGATATATCCGAGGAGTATGATATGGTTGAAGTATTTGTAGTGTAACGTATGAACAAAAAAAAAAAATCTTTCTATTTCTTCCGACCAAAAAGTAAATGCCCACGAGCTGTTGTTGTTTTTTCCACTGCATTTACATATTAGCAATGCAGCGCTGAATAGGCTACACACATACAGCGTTTTAAAAATAAACCAACGACAGCCATAATACCGTGTATACATGTAAGCCATATAGTTATGTATAGCCTAAACGTGTATAGGTGATAAATCGGATCAAACAAAATACGAAGAGAAGAAAAACCCGTTCGTGGGTGGAGACTCGCTTTCATAAAAATATACAATTCTGACACTGACGAATTGAGACTTCATCTTTATAAACATAAATCGCTTTTGTGTTGTTATTATTATTATTTTCTTCTTAGTTTGGTACTCTTTTTTTTTTTGTTCCATTATACTCATTTATATTATTTATGTACATTTCGTATGTGTGTATTTGTCTCTTCTCGCGCTCATCTATGGGCAGTGTATTAGAAAAATATACACATACTTTGCTATATAGAGACTACGTTCTCCTCACACTTGCCCAGCATCGGGAGGATCCGTTGCCCTATTGTTGAAGTATACACGTGAGATATATCCGTTTAGTTACGCATCTCATTAACATAACGTACAAGAACGATATTAGAAAAATAAAAACGTTGACCTTTTCTCTGGCATTTATTTTTGTACTAATTAAAAAACGGTACACGCGATGCGGGCTGATTGTGCCGGTGGAGTTGTTGACGGAATATTATAATTTTGTAATTTATCGTCGTATTATTTTGATTTGACGATAATTTATTTTCTAATAATCAACTTTCGTTTGTGTCGCCGGCAAATGAAGTCTTACCAACGCGCGTATTGTGCGTACAATAATAATATTATAATTACACATACGGCGAAGTTTGTCATTTTAATGTTGTTGTTACGTGTGCGGCGGGGCAATGCTTTTTCCTAGTAATTAAGGCGGTACAAGGCGCTTTTATTTTACTCATGCATGTGCAATATTACAATGTTATCTGGCATTTCTGCGTACATCGATAACGAGATGAAAGGAAACCGCTTCTGTATAGGTAAAAACCGCGTATAAATCGATATAGATTCTCATGAGAGTTGCAAATTTTCAAAACGCTTTTTTCTAGCTATTTTTTTTTTCTTTCATCCGTCTTAAACGCCCACACGGTGTATCGACCACGGTCGCCGACACACTAGCTCATAGTAATTATAATATTATTATGTGCGCGCATAATTCGTTAGAGATTCATATTATATTTCTTTGTGAAAAAAAAAAATTAAAAAATTTAAGAAAAGAATCCTCAAAATAACATAAACGCCGTGGCTAATATGATTTTAATGGAGTGTCAATTTTGCGACGACGTTTGCCATATCTCCAGTTGGTTTTTTATTCTACTGCAGTTACTCGGCCGATGAAGGGACCGTTGAAAATGTTTTCGATCTGTTCGATATTCAAATTAACGATATCGATCGAATAACATGGCGGTTTGGTTTTTATTTTATTTTGGAAGACAAAACGGTCATATGCAAACAGCACACGGGGCCATGAGTCATTATTGCGCGAGGGGGCGGTAAATATAATTGCAAAGAACCCTGTCAAGGGGTGTCGGTGCTGGAACGACGAGAAATGTTTGACGCGCGCACGTATGCAAATCAAAGACCCACTAGAACAACGTGCTCGGTGCACAAGGGAGAGCGGAAGTATGTGTGTGTATATCTAGACGCAAAAAAAAGGGTCCACGTTTTACAGTCGTACACGCGCGTTAATTTTTTATTCGACTAACGCGAGATATTATTTTTTGCGGCGATGTTTGTTTGTTTATGCGAGTACTTATTGTAATAAAATTTTTTAATTCTGGTGCACCGTTGACGACCGCTATCGACCGAACTGGATATCGTGTTACGCGCGTCAGATCTGTTAATGGTATGAAATCTAAATAATTAGAATTATTTTTCTATGGTATTGAATAGACCAGACGAAAACAACAAAAAAAAAAAAATCTCCGAACAACACAATAATACGCTTTTGTATGATCGGGTGGGCGATTTGCCGGTTGACACGTTCACATGGAAAACTACTGCAGTTGTTCTAGCGACTTGATTAGCGTTGCAAGACCAAAGGCAGCCGTTATAACGAGCTGTTTACACACGTACAGAAGGAAAAAGTAAAATAATAAACTTTCAAAGCTCATAAGTCAGTTGGCTCGTTGCTCGGGAAAAGTGTCTATTAAACATTGTCGAACGAATGCGCATATAAAATTAGTTATGGGAAAACGACGTGTGTCGCTTCAAGGGAAGAATAAGTACACGAGACGAGTGTTCAAAAAAAAAAAAAAAGTGCATCTTTGACCGGTGTTCTGCCAGCCGTATAATTAGAGTCGGTGACTATAGCGCCGTGGTACACGAAAAAAAAAAAAGGCAAGCGAATTTCTTCGTACATCGTTTGTTATCCAAATGACAGGGCCCGAGATTGGGTGCGAGTCTTTGGGGAAAAAGATGTTTTATTATAAGATGGCTCGTTCCTCTCGTCGTCGGTAATCCAATTATTAACGCGCAAAAGAAAAATAGAGGAAATAAAATCAAACTCTGGCCGAGATTACATATTTTACAACGTCGTGAGGTCCCTCTAATCACATCGCTTGTTCAATACGCGCATTATATTATTATTATTGATCGCAGTGGCTATTTTTGCACCGTCTATCCTTTCACAATGAGCCGCATAGATCAGCCAGCTCGCCGCACTATAATAAGTACCTCGGGCACGACACGGCGGCGTCGGCCAACAACAAACTAACGTTATTATATGTAAAAATAGTGTCGCCCTATAAATTACAAGACGGTAGTATAAATCAAACGAGAATTATTTTACGATCGTATTGAGCCATATGCATTATTATTATTACTACCTCTTTTTATTTTTTTGTGGGAACAAATGCTACCGGATAGATTGGAAGGAACATCGCACTGATACCGATGGCGGCTAGGCGACTCGGTTTATCCGAATTATTAATCAATTGTCACGGAGGCATAACCCGATTTGTCAAATGCGACAGGTCGGGCCGCAACCGGTTTTCCACATGGGTTCACTAACCCCTCCTCAGCCGCAGTGATACTATTAATACGTCAAGTGTTGCTTTAAATACATTTTTCGATAACTACACGAATAAAGCTGCTCCGAAATGGAAAATTGACAATAACGTTGTTTCAATAACGCGAATTCACAGAGTCGACAGCTCTCTGGCAAGAGATCATTGTGTTATGATAATGTGCTGACGAGATACGGTATACCGAAATAGTCGTTTTGGATCTATTTCAAAAGGGATCTGCCGCCGTCACATGGATCGGACGTGCCACTTTAAACAAACCGATTATTAAAAACCGCATTAAAACGTGTTTAATCCGTGTACGCCATTAGTTTGAAGACGACGACACCTACAACTCCTCCGGGTCCGCATTTGCCGGGGGAGTCAAAACGGGGGGTTCCGTTCCGACCGCGTAAATTATCATGTTATAAGACTGCAGCGAGCAGAAGAGCGATGGAAAGAGACGCGCTATTTCAGTACTGCTGTCAACGCACTCGTCATGTATATTTTATAGTTGCTCGTATCATACCGGCGTACATTATGGTGGGAGTTTATTAATATAATTAGAGTGCGCGCGCGTGTGTGTTTTAAGTCTTTCTAAGCATTTTGACACAACTAACGTGTGTAATTATTTTCGATCTGTATTGAAAATAAAAAAAAAGAAGGCGCATATGTCACCGATATATTATATATGCGTATACATGTACACACCGTGACGAGTAGTGTGTGTGTTTTTGAAGACTCTCGCGCGGCGTCGGTCGCCAGGTCGGCGCCGAGAAAATCATAAATTTCCTACATTTTCGTCGTGCATTTCCCGGAGAAAAGCACTAAGTACAGCTGCTTTTAAACGAAAATGTGTTATGATGCCGGTACGTGACAAGATGAGTCTGTGTGTGTGTGTGTGTGTGTGTCCTTTGTTGTTGTTGTTGTTAGTGTTAACGCAAAATCCGTGGGACCGTTAGCCGGCCGGCGCGGCGCCTACCACGTGGGTAATCCCGCGGTGTGGTCGACACTCGTTTTGAAGCAGATACGCCGCGCCATCTGTCGTACGGCCTTTGTGGCGAACGGCCGTTGTCGGCAGATGATTCACAAGGAGATATACAAAAGATACCGCTGCGGGTTCATAACGAGGTCGCCCTCCAACGCCGAAATTGTCGTTTAGCAGTCACGATAATCGTTCGTGTACGACAACGTGTATTGCTAATGAGCGGAAATTCTAAAATTAAAATTGCCGATGAGTTGCCAAAATATAATATTCTGTTAACTAATAATTCAGATACATCGGAATAGTGAAAAACAACTTTATTATACACTTAGAGGCGGGATTAAAAATAAATAAATTGATGTGGCTAATCCTAATGACTTGATATTTATTCGTAGGTTATATTAACTCGGTATATTATTACTCTTAGTTTGCCAAACGACATCGCTGTTCTGAGCCGAAAATAGTGTTATTGTGTGATTAATAATAAATTTAATCGAATGACATAAAAAAAAAAAAGGAATGATAATAAAATATACAGTTTTTAAAGNTGATTAATAATAAATTTAATCGAATGACATAAAAAAAAAAAAGGAATGATAATAAAATATACAGTTTTTAAAGTTTAACATTAAAAATGAGATTAATAGTTTTAAACTCGCTAAGATTTGTGTATTTTCTTGATGACACGAATAAATAATTTATTGTGTTCTCTGCCNAGTTTAACATTAAAAATGAGATTAATAGTTTTAAACTCGCTAAGATTTGTGTATTTTCTTGATGACACGAATAAATAATTTATCGTGGTCTTCTCTGCCTCTTAAAGTAATTTTGTCGAATTCTATTTTGGACTATTCCCATTACACCCACCAACCTGATCGACACCCAGTGACGCGCAGTTCGGTTGACCGATCTTGACCAGTGGGCGTATTCATAATTTTAGACATGTGATCGTCCTAAACGACAATAACGACCGGTCGCGACAACATCGAGTTGGGCAATCACAACGACCGCTTGACAGAAAAAAACAATGGACTTAAACTTAAAGCGATGGTTCCAGTTGGAAATCGATTTTTGCGCCATGGGCTCGACATATTTCAGTGTCAATTTACTAAACAAAATACCTAGTGGGCTACACAGTGACAAATGTGAATTTTCATGGACACTTTTATGTCATACGTTTCGTGTAAAGGAATTTGATTGCCGCCGGAATTCCGTTGGAGTGTCGCCCTCGTATTGCCGGCCGGGCGCGACCGACTGCCGAACCAACGCCAAAAACAACAGAGTGTTGAAGATTTTTATACATTTTTTCGTCTGTCGGTCGGATAATAAGCGTTTTCAGTGCGAGGGATCTGTTGCGAAATTTAGTACGCTCTAACGCACTAGAAACATTGTCCCTCGCATATTCAACGGGGTCGATGTTAAATCAAATAAATACGACTGTAGTAATCGTTTACCTGTTGCCAAAACTGAGCCAATAAGTAGATGCGTTCTTTTTTGAAGAGCCAATCCATAGACTGCATAGCCTGGACGTCCATATCACGTGTTACTCATAATTACCGTGCGGAGACACAATAATTATATCGTACACGCCGCAATGGAATCGAACGCGGTTTGCTTGAATGGCTCAACGCGTAGCCCTNCGTACACGCCGCAATGAAATCGAACGCGGTTTTCTTGAATGGCTCAACGCGATCCGACAAAAGTCAGTCGTAAATTCATCACGGTTTGAATTTCCTGCAAAAAGAACGAGAAAATTATAAAACAAGAGCCAAAGAAAAATGTTTATAACACCATAAAACGCAACAGTTGCGTGAGTGCTACTAGATTGCATACCTAAAACGCCTGACAATAACTTTGCCTATTCGTTTCAGCGCTAATTGTTAAATTTTTATACATTTGTTCAGTTCACATTAATTATACGTTAGAAATTATTTTTAAACGAAATTTAATCATTTAATATTGCACGTGTCTGGAAAAACGATAAGTGTACGAGACTTATGAGTCAAACTCATGGTCATTGACTATCAATCTATTTAATAAGAAGAACTATCCGGTGTAATGCTGACGCATACAAAAAACTATGTATGGTATCGTTAAATATTATTTGATTTGAACAAATAGATTATAAAATAAAAGATGGTCATTGTATTAACTAGGTATATTAAATTCACGTGTCCTTGGACTATCAATGACAGAAAAAAAAAATACTATTGCCAATAATTACAGTTCCTTCGCACGACATTAGTGCAAGTCAAAAATTAAAAAGTAGTCAACTATATTAGTAATTACGGTGATTTTAAGTAATAATAATCTTCTAATAAACATGACGCACAAATTATCATCATAAAAATTAACTAAAAAAATGTATTTCATTAGTTAGTTTCATCGAGTTAATTATCTCGATTAGACATGTAAAATATTGACAAGGTAAAATTTAGAAAACATATTTGTCGGTGAACGGAGAAAAACTGTAAATATTTTTTTATCGTAATCCGAGTGCGAATTTGTGTTATGCGCAATAAAATAAAATTTCGATTAGCAGACCAAAATATAATTTTGTCAATCGTTTTACGACAGTAAGATAATTTGAGCGTTGCAAATATTATGGTGGTCGTCGACAACGTTACCAGAACGGTTTCCTCCGGTCAACTATAATTGAACAAAATGTACTTTATTGTTTTCGATTCTCGAGCAATCGCTATTGTTCGACGTAGTAAAAAAAAATTATTAATTGTTGAAATTTTCGAAACGAACTTTGCTTTTGCCCAATAAGTAGGCTATTGTTACAATAATATTTTTATTGAACTGTTAAATATTTCTGACGTTAGCGATTTTTAAAATTCGGTGCACTTGTTGTTTAAGAACTCGAGAGAATATTATTCCTTCCGTGTTGTTAATTAGTTTTGTCTTTAGCTTCAGACATAGCAACGCGAAAAAGAACAAAAATTATTTATCGAAAAAACAAAATAAATAAACAAACAAAAATCTACATCCGCGTGTTAAAACGGTTAATTGTTTTTCAATAGACTGAAATATCACATACACACGAATACTATAATAAAGAACAAGGTTCAAGCAAAGAGTCCGAGCATACCTAATAAGTTAATGTAAACATGGAAAATAATTGTATAATGTTTGTCGATTTGGCCGTGAAAACAAACAACTGATACATATTTTTTTTCTCTGACAACCCGAAAATTATAGAATCCAACTGGATTTTTATTGAAATTTCGCCGAGCTATATTTTTTGTTTATAGTTGAAAAAAAAAAAATTTGAAAATATTTCTATTGAGATCTAATCAATAGTATAACGAATCGATTGTGATGTTTTCATTGACCATGTATGATTTTCAATCATAATTGAGTATAGAGAATAATTGTGCAGTGATAATTAAAAAAATAATTAAGCTGACCTGTTTTTTTCTAATATGTATAAAATAAAAGTTTAGAAATTGATTGAAAAAATAATTTCAATAATTTATAAATATAAAAAAAAGTTGTGAACAATATTTTCTATGTAGAAAAAACATTTTATTGTTGAAAACAGATTGATTTGATAAGATTATTTTAGACGATAAATATTTAGATTTTATTTGTTCTAAAAAATATTTTCGGACGAGTTTAGCGTTAATTTTAAAGAATTTTTTTCTCTCGAGTTGAATGTATTATTAAAAAAAATCGTGTTTTTCCATGTGAAAAAATAGAGTTAAAACATTAAAAAAAAAAATTAAAAACGACCTAACTGAATAACATCATAACTTACTTGATATTGGTTTGAACCGAATACTTCGACAATCACAGTGAACAGATTATTTTTTTCAATAATTATTCGCGGAATGTCTTGAATATTTTCAATAAAAAAAAACAATCGCACAATCTTCTAAGACAAAATCACGAACACTACACTCGTACGGTATCGTTTCAAAATCATTTGATAAAAATTATGCGTTTTACAATTGAATATAAAAAAAATCTCGTTTTCCAAAATAATTATTAAATATTTTCAAAACACTGTCGATACGAAGGCGGCGGCGGCGAGCACGACACACACTCACACCACACGACTGCGACCAACGGAAAACAACGTACGCGTGTCGACACCGCGCGTACAATCAGTGACGACTGCCGAGCGACGGCCGGCGGCACCAGGTCCTGCGATGTCTCTCCTCGGCGCCTCGCCGGCACATCACACAGTTATCGCGGTCCCCGTACGCTCCTGCCCTCTATTGGCAGCCGTCGGCCACCGATCGCACGGCGCACAATCCTTTTTTTCCGTTTTATTCGCCTTCTTTTTCTCTTTCTTCCTCCCCCGCCGCCGTCTCGACCGCGCGAGCTTTTTATTTTTTTTTTTCTCTCGTTATACCTCGTTTAGCGTGCACACCGCTCGCCCAGTTGTTTCCTATTATTTTTAACCGTTCCCGCAGTTTTTCGCCACCCAACGCCCTTCAATTCCCTATCAATCACGCCCAGTACGCATCGGTCGACCTATAGATACTCGATACACTCAATCGTCACCGCACTCCCACGACAGACGCCGTGGCCTATGCAAACCACCTACAACGTCCGTTTGTAATTATGCCGCATTATATTTAAATTAGTTTCCGCGTCTCGCTACAGTCCCAATGAATTTCATTTTTCACATTATTACAAACAATTCAATAAATTACTATTGGTTTGCTTTGCATGCGTATATATATTTATTCGGATTTTAGGCTTCGAAGTGTTGATTATAATGCAATTGGTTACGAATTAAATTACTAGATAAATTATTTTTTTTTTTTTTAAATAATCTATTAATAGAAACACGACGTTAGATTCAAGTGGACGAATCAACTACTTGTCTGTGTATGATTTTTCAGTTTTCAATGCTGAAAACAAAATGACAATATGTTTAGCTATTTATTTTTAACATTAAAATTGAACCTTAGACTTTGCATCGGTTTTTAAGTAGCTCATTGATTTTGACTAGTTAAATATTTATGTGAAAAATGTTGTCATATTGTTTGGTATTAACACCTCAATGTTTTCAATACAGTAGTTTAATATTTAACAAAATAAATCACAGTTTACAAGTGGAATCATTAACACATTTTTTTTTTAACTAAAATTTCATAAAATTATAAGCGGAAATGTTGACTTTGTTATTAATTTTTATGTCATGACCATCAAACTCTTCTTGATAGGTGTTTGTTCATTTTTCAATATTTATACGTGCAATTTGTTTTATTAGATAAATTAACGATAACCAACCNCCTCAATGTTTTCAATACAGTAGTTTAATATTTAACAAAATAAATCACAGTTTACAAGTGGAATCATTAACACATTTTTTTTTAAACTAAAATTTCATAAAATTATAAGCGGAAATGTTGACTTTGTTATTAATTTTTATGTCATGACCATCAAACTCTTTTTGATAGGTGTTTGTTCATTTTTCAATATTTATACGTGCAATTTGTTTTATTAGATAAATTAACGATAACCAACCAAAATTACAAACCGCTCGCCAGACGGACAAGTATTGACTAACGACCACAGTGTCATATTGATTTCGAGGACAGCTGGTCCCACAAAAAAAAGCATGTCATCTGCCACAATTGTTATGCATATTTGTAAATAGTTAGATTATTTTTATTTGGTAGAAAAATAATAATATTATATTGTACATAATAAATATCGTGCAGACCGTATAGGCCGCTTATTATATAAATAACATGGTGCGTACAACATTGTTACAGAGATCATGTCGATGGGTACATTGATTTTACGATAATTATTGTCGATTATTTGTTTTGTTTACTTTGTGCACTGCACGAGTAATAATTTAAAACTTTAAAAATAATAAAAAATCCGTTGTCCTCGAATCGGTTGTACGACAATTCTCAGAAAAAAAAAAACGAGAATTATCGATAGTAATATAAACATGTAAAAATAATAACGGTCGTATCGTACCCAGCAATCTTTTTCGAAAATATTTTTTCGAATTACCGCAAATAATTATATTACAGTCCGTCATTATTACATACTGTCGTTGTTTTTTTACCAATTACAGTTGATTTCGATTAAACGGATTTGATGAAGCAATTTTACATATGTTAATATCCGCCGCAGCAGCACATCTCGGTAAAATACGGTCCTTCGCGTGTACCTGATTTTATTACGTTGTTTTTTCGCAGACTGCGACTGCATTAGACGCGCAAGTTATACTTATGTGGGGCCGATTTTGCGGTTCAATTATATTTTATTGAAGCGTACAATCCGAAATGCCAATAAACGTTGCACAGTCTAAATTATCCGTACACACTGCGGCAAAGGTTTTACATACTCTAAACGTTACCCGAGAAATCGGTGGGCTTGTAAAACGTTGCGGCGGTTTTGGATCTCGTTTGACGCGCATTTTGTACATTAACGTCTGAATATTGTTTCAACGGATCGTTCTACATTAATTAACTTTACATGCTCGCATCAGTTATTGTAACGTTCATGATGATTTTAATGTCGTAAAAAAAAAAAAGAACGAGTTCCGAGAAGTCGAATCGCGAGGATGAGACCGGACGGACTATTAAAGAAAAGTATACGGGACTTTTAGCGTGCAAACATGCAGTTCGCCCGAGTTGTGCCATTATCGTTAAAACGCGAGAGGTCTCAAGGTCGCATTTAAAACAATTTAATAATTTTCCTCCGATAGCACATCAGACGGCGTGTATATTTAATTCGATTACACGGGGTTGTTTTAATGGAGATAAAAAAAATCAATTCTTCCGAGCGATAACCGTTTGGAAACAATGTGTTTAATTCGACTTTATTCAAACAAACTACGACGTTACGGGGGCTCGCGTAATTCTCAGCTTAAACGATCTTACCCACCCCTGTCCAAAACAAATTATCGCCGACGAATATGAAATTGGATTAAAAAATTATTCAATTTGTTTGCCTGTTTTTAGTCCGGCGCGGCGGCGACACAGATATGACACACAGAGTTGATTATTACTCTCACACACAGCGTGCTCATCTTTTATACACTTACCCCTCCTGATCGGTCGAGTGTAGTTTAGTTGGGCAAACGCAAGGGGTCACGCACGTACGTGTGTGCGGCATTTGTGTGGGTGCAACACGCGCTCTTTCACTGCTGATGCACTTTACGCCTACCTATACTGACGTTATTAAACGATGTAATTATTTGCGAATAATTAAAAAATAATGTATGCGAAATTGATTGTGTTCGTATTATGTCTGTACGATCAGTAAACAAATGAACGCCTTTGTATACTAATACGGGCACGTGTAAGCTTCAGTCTGTTGTCGCTGTCGTTTGGCGTGGGATGAACTCTTTTTTTTTTTTTTTTTACGCATATTAAAATGCATTTCTACTGCGCGCCCTTGACCCACACGAGGTGACATCAACGAGAGTAGTGTCCCCTGAAATACACATGTGTACGTTGCGTTGTTTCTTTTGGCGGTCGCGAACGATAAGAAAAAAAAACGTGAACTCATAAGGTATTAATAATTAGATTTGAAAATAATAAACAATAATAGTCAAAACTATAAACAAGACGAATACAATACAAGTGCAGATAATCGATTTGAATAATAATAAAAAAAAAAACAAATTTACATAATACTAACAATTTTGCAATGTTTATACAGCGCAACCTCCAAGGTCACCGATGCCGAAATTGATCGTCAAGCTGAATTCAATTAAGTCACAAAAATCTGCTAATTGATATTTAAGGCTACGTCGGAAAATCGAGATGTTCAAAAAAAGAAACTCATCGCAGTAATTTGCCATCAAAGCAGTTTTTATAAGATTAGAATAATTAGCATTGACTCAATTAGTTTAGAAACTAATAGGCAAAACTTGGACAATTTCAATTCGAAAACCTTTTTTCATTAATCATTGCTTCCGGCTTGCGATTCGGACGTGACATTGACATCAAACGAACCATTTGAACAAACACATACACATAATGCAACACATTTGTCAAGTATTTGTATTATCAACAGATTATCAATCTGACGTTGTTAAATACTCGTTAGTGCGCCTCCAATGGCCGAGAACACCACCGTCTTTACCTGTGTTGTTTTTGAAAAGTCTTCCTGTATAATATCGTTACCGACTCTAGTTACATTATTATTATTATTTTTATTTCAATATTTGTTGTTGTATTGTTCTTGTTGATTTTTCGGTTACGATTATTTTATTTTCGTATCGTTTCGCGTCAACATTACACAATTACCGTAGTGCACTTTTGACTGAACTGAATATTTTGCATTCTTGGCAGGTCACATATGACAACTGCCGATGAGCTGTGGTGTGCATCATAAAGTACTCTGAAATGCAACCGATCGCTTCCCATGAAATGGATTCACGTGGAAAATGTGCACAACAATAAAATTCATAAGCTTTCGCAACACAATCACTTAAGGAAAAAATCGTATTGAATTTTGTGACGTAATATTAATTATAAATAAATGATTTTAATATTTATATTCGTGTTAATCGTTCAAATGTTCATCGTGCGCAATTATTCAAAGCTTTAATCGTGTTTGTAAATATCATAAAGAAGCAGGGAAGTTTTAACGGATTTTCACATTTAGCGCTTCATGTAAATCATAGAAAATTACACCAAGGAACTTGAGTATTAATTTAACGAATCGCTTTTTTGTACAATGGAAACGACAACCGATTAAACGAGTCTGAATGCTCAATTCAATTCTAACAAATGGTTAATTGAAACGGCGTAGGAAAAATAGATACGATTGTAAATTCATTTCCGGTGCGCGAAATGAGTCAAACCCACATTCGAACCGATTGCACACGAGTACACAACAAAAATAATCGATTGCGAAACGTGACTTGGATGCAACAAAAGGTGAAAAATATAATAAGTTAAAATTAACTATATTTGAACCCATTAATGATTGTTTTCACAATATTGTGCGGTCGTTGTAAAGATTGCGCGCACAAAATAGATGTTACCGCACAATAAAATGTGTATGTAGGCAAGCGAGTAATCAAGGAGCATTCTCCGGCGTACATAAAAATTAGTACCTACACTATTGTTCATTAGAATCTAAAATTTAATGAGACATTTACACCGGCACTTGCTTTTATTACTGTGTAAGATGGAATAAGACAGAACGGTACGCTAAAGCACTGGCAAACACCCATC